CTATATATAAATATAACACACTATATGTGTACAAATGTATATGTCTGTATGTAAAGAAAACAAACTGTAATTCAATAAATATTTACATATATATCTGTACACCAACCTGAACTTCCCAACAAAAGACGAGAATTAAAAAAAAAATGAACATGATTACAATCATTTAATAGTAAGTTGAAAACTTTTAAAAGCTCTATATGTATACCCGTCTCGATATCGAAATCAGTTAATGATACCGTAAATGTGCTTGCTGAAAACTTAAAAGAAATCCAAATCCAAATCAAAATCAAAATCGAGTCAACTAAATATCATCAATAGTTGACCTATCTAAGTTTAACTTTTTGCGGTATCGTTTCGTCGTTTTAAACATTTCGATTGACCAGCTCACCTATATATACATATATATATATACCTATTGCTAAGTCTGTACAATGTACTATTTGTTGGATATGTATTTCGAAACTTTCTTTCCAAAATAAAAAAGTGTACATCAAATTCGAAATGTTTTTCTGGATGTTCCTGCAAGAATTCTCGACTTTTGAATTTACAATGTGGGTGATTATTGTTATTTAACACTTTTATTTATATTTATTTTATGATATCTAACTATATACTTTGAGTGTCATCTACGAGCTAGAAGGAGATAGTTTGCAACAAAGCAAATAGATGTGAGGGAGATAGCGAAGCAAGGATCCATTCTTTGAAATTTATAAGCTTTTCAAATTGAGAGGTAAAACTAATTAGACATACAAATTGCCTAATCAGCTACATATACATTCTGTATACGTACATATAAGAGACTACACGCTTATATACATATATCTATAGCCTTATCTATATCAATCGCTTATAATAACTTTGCTATTTAGAGCAAATTTATTGTACTTACTATACGAACACGGATACTTCACACAAAGTAGAGCAAAGCAATGCAAAAGATAATAGAAAAGGGTTATAGCCTGATAAAAACTGCACGACTTTTATATACCCTTTAGTTGAATGACTATTCATAAAGCCTAAACTCAGCTCTCATTGGAACAGCTGTTATTAGGCATACTTTGACAATAATTCTCTTATTCCAACTATGTGAATTAATTTACATATATAGTTATAAATAGTCTATATAATCTAGGTAGGGCAATGACAAAAATCTCAGAGTTTTATCTTTAGCTCTTTTATAATATCAATTTGCTTAACTATTTAAGCTTAGCTTAACCAATTAAGCTTAGCTTTACCCAAATTAATGGAGTCCATAATCAAACTTTAGGTTTTTTAATCATTGTGAAGAGCAATAAAATATAAAATTTTAACACCCGGTGTCTGATTTCCAATGGGTTCACTGTAAAAAAAAAAGTTGGGATGTGTTTAATCAGTGTTTATATATTTACATATACCAGGTTATCCAGCAACTGAATGAGTTCAGCTATAATAATCTCTATATGCACATTCATTTAATCAACTGCATGCAGTCAATGATAAATAGAAATGTGCTATTTATAGGGTTGTCCGTCCGTAATTGTTTACGCCGTTATCTTGGCTATATTCTATTTGTCAGATTCAATGAATTCTCTTTCTCTCCCCTCCCCCCCCTCTTTCTCTCTTTCGCTCTCTCATTCTCGCTCTCTCTTTCTCCACATATAAAGAAAAGGTGTGCAACTGCAAACGATTCAAAGCGTATTCAATCTCAGCTCGTGCATAACATGTCGTCGCACCTGGCCAGCTTAGTGGGTCTCTGCGATGGACAGGATGCGCCCAATCTGTTCAACATAATAAGCAACAGCTTCAGAAGTAAGTGTATTCATAGCATCAACTGTCTATGGAAATTGCAATTGATATTAAATAAATTTAAATTGAAAAAAAAAAAAAAAAGATCCAAGAATTCTTTTAAATTGGAATTTCAGCCTTTAGCTGAGTAAAACGACTGAGCATTCGCAGTTCTATTTCAACTAGTTAAAAGCTTTTTGAAATTTTGTTGTTATGCACAAAAGCAATCAGCTCTGATAAAAAAAATTATATTTATTCACACATATATGGCGTAACAGTATTTATCTGTGGAACTAACTTCTTATAGGCGCATACTAACTACCTAGGGGATTTTAAAGCTAAATACAAGCTGATGCGCTACATATTTAGCCTTGACTGTTAGTAAAAGTGCCGTGAAAAATATATAGAAAAAACA